TAATTTTAGGATCCCTATTATACTCCGTGTTAATGGGATGGGGGTTATTAATTAAGGTTCTTCACTACCCAAGCCCTAACCCGTGCAAATTCCTACAGAGCCCTACGTTCACATGTTGCCTTATCCATGTGGGTGGTTTTCAAAATTATGGTCCCTTTTGGATCCCAATTATACTACGGCACCTAATGTTTAGGGTCCCAAAGAGGGACCACAATGTTGACAACCACCCATCTGATTCTCCATCATTTGAGGGCTAGTGTGGCTGATTTTTAGGCCTGTTTTTAAAGGGAGCCCGCCCTAAATCATAAATCTTAAACCCCAAATCCTAGACCTTAAATCCTTAACCCTGAACCTTGAAGCCTAAACCCTATAAACCCTCGACCCTGTAAACCCAAAAACTCAAACCCCAAACTTAAGGGAAGCCAAGGCTCACCTGGGACATGACCAGAAACGTGGGCAAAGTTTTGGGCAAGATGGGCCCCGCGGCCGAATTTTAAGCCATCTAGGGTTTAGGGGACCGTGTTAATTCAGGTTTAAGGTTTAGGGTTTAGGGCTTAGGGCTTAGGGAAAAAGAGCCAGCAGGGTTATATCTCTACATGCTCTCAGGGTCGCAATGCAGATTTAAGATTTCATGCCTTTCCCCTGTAGCTGTAATAGTTTTCCCTCGTACGTTTCGAATATTAGTTTACCCCCAAACCCGGTTCTGATGCATTCCCGCAGATGTGTCTCCTAGAATTCGAAAAGCTGGTCATAAACCCTGAGCCCCCAATTCACATCAGTTTTTTTGGTGACCCAAGTCTACAACTCATTGGATCGGCCTAAAATTCAGGTCTTGGAGCTTTAGCCTGCTTCTTTTCTTTCAAGTTCTAGGGTGCATGCGCTTTATTGGGTTCATAGGGTTGACATGCATGGTGTGTAGGATTTCCAAGATTTAGGTTTTATAGGGTCCAGGGTTGAGGGTTTTTAGGGCTGGTAGGGTTACTGGTGTAGGGTGGTGGGTTACCCCCAGAAGCCCGCTTCACCCTCCTCCAAAAGGTTCGGGGCTGTTTAGTTGTGTAGGGTTTCTGGTTCAGACACCACTTCATTCGACTGCAAGCAAGCCCTCAGGGTCCAAGTACCTAATAATCATATACTTACCCAAGACCAATTTTATGATTACCCTTATCCAAACCCTGCACCTGACGATTGGGTACTTGGACCCTCAGGCTGCGATTTTCTTTGTATACTTGGATCCCTTGGGTATCGGGTTTGTCTGAAGAGTCCTAGAGCTAAATCTTGATCGGGTTGAAGGAAACCTTGAAGCCCAACCCCAAACCCCACATGAGGTATAGTCTAAACTCTTAGTATCCCCCGTAATAGCCCCTAGAATACTCCCCTATATAATCCCTTACATATGCCCCTTTAAGGAGTTTAGACTATAGCTCACATGCAGTACATGACTCCCCAGCTCAGGTACTCAGGGCGGGCTATGGAGAACAGTCCTCTTAGTACCTTTAGAAACGGAATGCATGTTTGGCGGGCCACTTTGTACGACATCCTGTCATGCAGGGGGACAAGGGCATAGAATGGCATAGAAAACACAAACTCTACATTTTAAATTCCAAGCCTCATCTAACAACCTTAAGCTCTAAATGCCAAACCCTAAAACTTTAAATGGTGGTTTCCAGAAGTAGGGGGCCCGGGGGAGGGGGGGGGGGGCCGCCAAAACAGCCCCCAATATATTACAATCGCAACGCCGCAAAGAGGGACCCAAAATTCCTGGAAATTACCAAGTCGTGTATCCAAGGATAGAAAGAAGTATGGGCACCTCATATGGGCCCTTAGGCCTTTCAGGGGAACCCTTAAAGATATAGGGTATATAGTAGGTCTATCAGTATCCCAGGGTTAGGGGCCCATACTACAGTGGATACTAAAAATCCTGCATTACCCTAGGTACCTTATACCTTGGGAAGTATGGCACTATAGTATACTAAGGTCATGCAGGATTTTGAGTATCAACAGTAGGGGCCCGTGGCTGGAACCCTAGAGTGTGGACCTCTAAATCCTAAACCCACCCTAAACCAATTCTGATCCACTTTCCGAGGTATTTGGACAGGAGCTGGCGTTGCGCGTCTCTACTCCAGGGCCTCCTGGTTGTTCAATCCTTTGGGAAGTTAAGGGTTTAGGGAATTTACGGCTTAGGTAGGTTTTGGGTTAAGGGTTTAGGGAGTTTAGGGTTACGGGAGTTTAGGGCTTAGGTAGGTTTAGGAAGTTTAGGATTGATGAAGTTTAGTGTCTAGGCTTCGGTGTTCAAGGTTGTTAGGAGGGAGCCCCACTCCTGGGCCTGCTTCTTGGTTTTATAACCCCGAAATGGCTCTTAATGCCGGTTTAGGGCTTAGGGTTTTAGGGCTTTAGGGTTTAGGGTTCCTATTCCAAGGCAGTTCTTATATTACCGGCGCCAGAATAAGTTGTCATCCGGGGTCTCTCCTCAAGTCCCCAGAAGGGAATACATCTTTTGGGTGATCCCAACCCCCAGATAAAGATACTATTCCCAGCATATGACTCTGATTGGGTACCTTTCATAGGGTTCGGGGTCGCTAAAATGTCTCCTTTTGGACGGGGCTCCGGGTTTTGGATGTACTGTGTAGATTTCAATCCGAAATTCTACAGTTTCAAGGGCTTTAGCGTGATCTCCCTGAGATGAAATTACTTTTAGGCTTTAGGCTTTAGAGTTTAGGGCGAAGAGTTGCGGGTTTAGGGCTTAGTTTAGGCGTTAGGGCGTATTGTTTTGGGTTTAGATTTCAGAGCCCTTGTTTGGACCTACTACCTAGACCTCGGGGTCATACATCCCCGAGTAGGGGCACTAGCAGGGTCTTGGGTCCCAAATTCCTATATGAAACTCCGTATCCTCCCACTTCCCATTTCATTTTCATGTTCTTCTTAATCTGTTTAACCATTATTTCTGGGAAACTAGGTGCACCAGGCTTACGGCTTGATTCTGGATTTCTCAGGTTTTGAGTGAGCGTCTAAGGTCGAGGACCTGCGATTTAGGGTTCGGATGGGTTAGGTTAGGATTCGTGCCTTAGCCTTGTGCGGGTCCCTGAACCCTAAACACCCTAAGGGTCCAGGAATGCACTAGTTGCGTACTGAGACTGTGGGCGCACGATTTGTTTTGGTACCTTGTGTTGGCACGCTGCTGCTTGTGATGTTTTAGGCGGTGCGATGGATTAGCGGCCTGAATCTTTACCAGTATTCTCGTTCTAGAATCCTTGTATACTTGTGGCATGGGGTACCTCAAATAAACCTTTACCGGCGCTTTATATTCTCCTATAAACCGCTATATAGACCCAGGGGTCCCTTTCATTCTGGAACTTGTTGATCATTCAATTCTCCAGTATTGTTAGGCTTGTAGTCGCCAAACCCCATGTAGTCATATGTAGTCTACGGTTGCCCTCCAGACCCTAGGCGCTGAACCCTGCATCATGTGGTCAAAAGCAGGCCTTCAGTTCCCTAAGATGTAAGGTGTAGAAAATGCGCAATATTTGGGTTTAGGGTTTGGGTTTGGGGTTTAGGGTTAATAACACTAAGGTACACATGCTGAATACTGAATACATACGTAGGCGTTTAGGGTTTAGGCTTCGGGATTTCTCTGGTACTAACTTCAGTCTAGGGTGTAAAGCGGTGCGTTGACCTATAGGCCAGGGCCCGGGTTCGATAAGATACCCTAAGGGTCCAAGGACCCAAATAATAGGGCTTTAGGGCCCAAATACCACTAGTATTATAGTATTTGGGCCCTAAAGCCCTTTTATTTGGGTCCTTGGACCCTTAGGGATAGCCACGCGGTTCAGGGCTTAGGGGTCTACGGCAAATGGTATGCCTCACATCTCTCAACCCTAAGGATCGGTTTAGGGATTTAGGGTTTAGGGTTTAGGGAAACCTCCATAACCCCGCAAACTAGTTTAGTAGTCTCCTCTGAACAGGGACCTCCATGTAGGATTAGGGGAGATCTGAGGGCAAGTCTTTGACTTTGTTAAGGGAGAAAGGCCTCAGCGCATTTAGTGTAAAGTTTTGGGCTTACCTAGAGTACGTAGCATATGCCAACATTCCAGAATTTTTGCCGTTGTCCAATCCCAAGAAGAAGGTGAAATTTGGATACTGCCCCACTCAGTCACAATTGGATATTAATGTTGAGTATGAACTATATAAAAAACCAGGGCCCCTATTGCTACTCCTATTGCAGACCGTTGCTGGGGGGGGGGGGCAGTACTCAAAATATACTCTACGTTTCCGGTTCATTCTCCATTTTTGTGCTCATTCAATTCACCTTGTGGTTTCTGCATCTGCTCGATGAAGGCTGGCATGCAGGTGCAGGTTGAGAAGCCGCGCATGCTGAAGCTCCAAGAGATTCGGCCTATCACACAATGGGCTACCAATGCACGACACCAGACAGCAGAACGCTCCATGCTTTCAATGGGTTCGAGAACGTTTCGCACAAAAACGTGCAGCGGCAAAAGGAAGAGGAAGCGGCAGGCCTTCGTCATCAGAATGCTTGGTTTACCTACGTGGAACAGGAGGCTCAGGCCTGGGCGGCGTGCAGCATGCGGCTTCTGAGCTCAATATCCTGAATCTTTTAGGCTTGCGGCAATCTGGGGATGAGGACCTCGGCCTTCAACTCTAGATTTAGGGGTTCGGGTCTAGGGTTTATGGTATAAACTTTGAAGATGTGATCCCCTCACCTAACAATAATGGACCGTCCACTTCCCTACCAATGCTCAGGAGGGGGAAGGGCTTTTATTGTAGGGCAAAGAGACGAACCCTTAGCCCTAAACCATAAACCCTAAACTTTCAACAAGAAGGTTCGGAAATATGGACTCCCAGGGTAGGCTCTGAGCCTTTTTGAGCTCTAAGTGGCCTTAAGGGTGCGGAGTTTAGGGTTGTGGGGGGTACAGAGTTTAGGGTTTATGGTGCCCTAAGGGTCATGTACCCAATAATTACGTATTTGGGATTTGGGTAGTAGTAATTCTAGTACTGGATTTGGTAAGTATATGGTTATTAGGTACTCGGACCCTTAGGGAAAGGCAAAAGGAATTGTGTCTCAGACCCTTTAAGCTCTACGTCCCTACGCTCCTATAGTTCCCCTGAAGTAGACAATGGAAAATAACATGGAGACTACTATTTAGGGCTTAGGATTTAGGATATGGTCCCCCTGAAGTAGATAGAATCTGGTTTTGGGTACATTATAATGAGGTCCCATTTACCCATATTCTATCTGTTTAAGGGGGACTATATATCCCAGGCCCCTACACTTCTGAACCTTTAACCTTCAACCATCAAAACTGTAAGCCCTAAACACGAAACATGAACATCCAACCCTAAACCCTAAACCCAGGTGCGACAGACTACGCCTCATACGAACCAGACAAGGTGGACCCACACGGTGCTCAGCTGAGTCCACAACATGACCCTAAGAGTCCAGTACACAACAACCATATACTTCGGTGTACTTATCATAGCAATTGTTACTTGGATTTGGGGGAGTATATGAGAACTTCCTACTTTTGAGTCTTACGGTTTGGGTTTACAAGCTTAGACTTCAGGATATGCGATTTAGGAGGATACAGGGTAGGGGTAGGGTTTCGGGGTAGAATAATGGGGTCCCCCAGCGTGCGTATTTCTTATCCAAATGAGGATTCCCATAATCCCACGTATATTTCTACATTCCCTTGGAGCCCCTAGGGGCCAACAGTTTTGAGAAACGTCCACATTAGAGAGATAGGAGTCTAGGGATTCAGAGTTTAGAGTTCGAACAATGGTAACTCAAAATCAAACTGGCATTCTGCACGGATCAGGTACCCTAAGGGTCCAAGGACCCAAATAAAAGGGTTTTAGGGCCCATTTACTATTATGTTAATGGTATTTGGGCCCTAAAACCCCATTATTTTGGTTATTTTGGTCCTTGGACCTTTAGGGGTAGTATTCCCGATGGAGGTACCTCAGCCCCCCCCCCCCCAATAGACTGCCAGATCACGCCTTCCTTTAAGGTGTAGTAATGTATAAGAAGAGCATATAGTCCCCATTAAGTTGATAGAATATGGGGTATATGAGGATCTTATTATAATATATCCAAAGCCATATTCTATCTATTTAAGGGCGACTATATCCTAAATCATAAACCCTAAATAGTAGTCTCCATGTTATGTTCCATTGTCTACTTAAGGGGGACTATAGTCATACCTTGATTCAAACGTCAAAAAAGTGTTCTGCAACTCAACAGGATGTCAGGGTAAGTTAATGGTTTTGGGGTGCGGGAAGGCCTTAAGTGGTAAGTCCCAAGTGTTGTCTTGTCTGTTTGGCGAACCCTAAGGGTCCAAGTACCTAATAGTCAAATACCGACCAAAACCTGTACTATGATTACCACTACCCAAATCCCAAATTCCTACTTATTGGGTACATGGACCCTAAACCCTATATATCCCTATATACCCCCTTTTCAAGGAACCTAATTATTGGGTACATGGACCCTTAGGGGAAGAGCTCTGGTTTGCCTTGCTAGTTCTAGTTTGGCTTTAGGAAAGGGTTTAGGGTTTAGGGTGTCTATGCCAGACTATTGTGATAGCATTATGTCAGAGTGGAGACAGGCTATGCGCTTAGGCTCCTGGTTTGCACTTTGTTGTTTCGAGTGTAGGGTACTCTAGAATCCCAGTCTCCATTTAATTTTTCATGTTCTTTTCCATTTGATTCTCCATGGGCACCATTGGGTTATATAGCATTAATTCCTTAAACCCTAAACCCTGAACCCCAAGCCCTTGAGGGACCTGAGGGTGAAGGTTTAGGGTTTTGGGTCCTCCAGATGTTTTCCCGGATGTGACTGGGCCACGTCTGTCCTCTGGTCCCCAAGTCCCCCCGGTGTAGGTTTCAGGGTTTAGGGTTTAGGATTTAGGGTTCTTTGCGCCAGCATAGGGTGGCATATCCCCCTAAAGGGCAGGAGCTAATATTAGGGTCTCATATGCGTAATCTTTTAATTTACGCGTACTTGTTGATGAATTTGCTTGTTTCTCCTGTGCCCATGTCGGTTGCTGTCGAACCCGGAACTGAGATTTCGGTTTGAGGTGGCTAAAGCCCAAGCCATAAACCCTAAACTCCGCAGTTTTCCAAAATTAAGCACCCTAGCTTTGATTTCATTTTCCGCTAGATTCTTCATTGCTTGTAAATATATATGTTTCTATTATACTACGCAATCATAGTCATCTCTTCAGTGGCCCTTGATAGTCTGCCATGACATAGTAGCTTCGCGATTTAGATTCTAGGTTTTAAGGTTTCCACTTTCTCCCCATTCCTTCAGCCCACCCCGAAACTCTAATTTAGCGTTTGCGGTTTAGGGTTTCCGGGTTTAGGACTTAGGGCTTAGGGAACTAAACCGTAGATCCGCCTTTTTTCTTCATGCCAGGCTGGTTGGAAGCGCTAACCTGAGCCTCAGAAGCCACAACGTGGTCACCAAATAATTACCTCGAACACCGCCCCTTTGGGGGATATTACCCCAAGAATGGAGAATCACATGAAAAGGTGGAGAATCAAGTGGAGAAGCAAAAGGAAGATGAAGTGGAAAGTGGAAACAGGCACTTTTTCGGTGAGTATGTACCGCAGGAGTTTTAAATGTTGCCATTCTTGTCAAGAAAGCCGGACTGAACCTTGGCAAGAATTTCTTACAAGCTCTATTTGAGCATGTGATGTCCCATTCTATTTTCCAGTGACTCTCCATTCTTGCCAATTGTTTAGGCCTCCCAAAGCTATTGACCCATATCTCCCCTGTATAATCCTACATATACCTATCTAGTCATGTATGAAGCCCTTTTGAAGGGTACTAATTCAAAGCCCCTGTGCTCCGCCCAGAGCCGTGAACCACAAGCATGGCCCGAACCTTCACAGTTGGGTACTGCCCCCCCCACCGTCAACTGTGCGCATTAGGCTCCGCATATGCAGAGACTCACTGAGACAACAGCTCCATACGTTCCTTCGTAAAAGTTGAAGTTCCGTGTCCTTCCGGTGTCCAAAATTTGCATGGAATCTTGGCAAAACGCCAATCCTCCCCCCCCTACGCGGCCCTACCTGTACAACCCAAAAAAAGACATTTCTCAACCTTTCTAACTAGCCTAGCCCCTTGGCCGATGACGGGCTGCAGTAAGGAGCTTGGCATCTCTGATGGCATGTCCATTTCGGCCTACGGAAACCTCGGTGTGGAGTCAACCCTCCTATGCGGGACCAGGGTTTAGGGTTTAGGGCTTAGGGTTAGGGTTTAGGGCCTTAGGATTTTGGGAGCACAGGGTGTCGGGGAGTTAGTGTTGAGAAGGTTTTGGGCTGTAGGTGATAGGTTTTGGTTGTTTGGGAATGTGCGTTAGAGGTGTGACATTTTTTTGACAACGGCAACCAGGACTTCCCCAAACATTAAATGGTAGTTTCCAAGATGGAGAACCCCAACACGTACCCCTAATTCGGGGAGCACACCTAAATCACCGCACAAGTTGTACTTGGCCTGCGACGTCCGTGCAGGAGAGCTCTCAGGGTTTTGCTCCATAAGCCCCTACCTAGAGCAGCCAATGCACCCATACTCAAGGCTGTTGTGCTAGATAGTTTCGTCTGTTCGCTTTTTCGGAGATCTATATAACTGTTGGTAAGGTTGGGTTTGATGCTGTGACTCCTACAACATCTTTTTGAGTCGAGGGCAAATTCAGAACTGGAGTTCCCAAAAAAGGAGCAAGCTAAGTCTTCTGCAACGCTACAGGGTTTAGTGTTGAGGGTTTGGGATTTGAGCTTTAGACTTTCGGTGTTGAGAGTGTAATTAAGGTTTAGGGGAGCTGTGTGCATAGGCTGCAGGATTTCAGGTGACCCTACGCAGTAAACAGTCTAAGACATTCCCGGTATCTGCAATGCCTGCCTGAAAGTTACACCGCCGAGCTGCCGATAAGATACATAGACACATTAGCTGTAGGGTTGTTCTACAGGTGCCTGTAAAGACCGTTGAGAGCACACGTACCTGTCCGCCCCGGGTCTGCCAAAAGCAGCCTGCAGCGTTGAGCAGGCTTCCACACCGGATTCTGGGGGTCCGCAAAGCAGCCTGCAGCGTGGAGCAAAGGGCAGAGGAAAGGCTTCCACACCGGCTTCTGTGGGCAACAGCGATCGCCGCCAAACAGCAGAGGGAGCGCAGTCGCGGAGCTGGAGGCCGGCAGCTTCAGCACCGGCTTCCAGGGGTCGGGCCTCTTCGGGCACTTCTTCTGCCACGCAATACCCTAAAGCCTCTTTGCTTTCCTTCTGCTCCTTCTCTTCACACGCAGGGAGCCTATTGCAGTGCTGTCGGACTCTTCAGCTACCAGCCTGCGATTCCTTTTTTCATAGTTTGGGGTTGCATGCATGGCTGTAATTTCCCTCACGGCTTGTGCAGTTGTATGCAACCCACCTGTGAAGCTTAGACCCGTTGCTTCACGGGGATCTCTACAGTGGATGAAGGACACTTACCTGTGTAAAGGGGTCCTAACCAAAATGGGAACCTAGCTTATGGGAGTTTTTATGAGACAGGCATTTTGAATAACTACCACATGGACCGCTTTTTAGAGTTGATTTTGCCGTGTGTGTTGTCCTGGGAGCTTCCCTTCAGAATGTTGCCTCGGCCCTTTCGGGTTGCGGGCTTTAGGGTTTAGGGTTGAGCCCCAGGTACCAATAAGTAAGAACCTCGATGCCTACATGCTTGTTGTACTTATCGCTAAGATCGTGCCTGTCTACAAGAAGAAGCTTACTTATTGGAATCGGACTATCTCCAACAATCACTCCAAGCCTAAACCCTCAATCCTAACACGTAAACCCTAAACCCTCAATCCTCGCCCTTTGTCTCCCCAGCATCAGGAGTGAGGGTCAGATGGTGGTTTCGCGCTTCGTGGGGGATGGTACCGTCACTTGGCTACATGAGGGTCTCCCAAATAAGGAGTACTTCTCTTAGTAGCTGGGTAGGTAACCTTTAACCTTTGAGCGTATATATAGTCCTATTATAATGCAAAGGTTACCCTACTTTCTGGGGCCAGGGAATGAGGAACAAGTTTCTTAGAGACCAAGTACCCAATACTTGAGTACTCTGGATTTGGGTACGTGTGATTATAGTATATACAGGCTTCGGGTGGTAAATGATTGAGTACTTGGACCCTCAGGGTTCGGGACTGCAGGGACCATGGTGGAAAGTATTGAGCTCACAGCAGGATAGTAATGTAGTTGCAGAAGTAGGGTGGTTCTCAAAATTAGGGGCCCCTTCTGGTTATAGAGGCTTGTTTAGGGTTGATGAAGGCGAAGTAAAGGGGAACCCAGAGGGGGATGGAGAAGGGGTGGAGGGCCAGACGACCCATAAGTACTCCGCGATGTTTTTTTGGTGCCTATGTTGCGCGTTCCCTTTTTGGGCGGTGCTTTAAATAAGGATTATAAGAACTGGCGCAAACAAATAAGAAGAAGATAATAAGAAGGATAATCACCGTAGTAAAAGTGGCAGTACAAATGAACGAAATGACAGTTATATTAGTCACATCAGTATTTGTAATAGTTATAGCAATAATAGGAATATTTCAGTAGTACTAAGAAGGGACCCGGTTCTGAACAGACATATCTCTTACAGCTTTCCCGAGGCCCATACGCAACTCCTCCAAACCATTAACCAAAGCCAGGGTGCCCAAATGTCAGCACTTAGCCAGGTAAAGGTTTCGGGTTTAAGGTTCAGGGTTTAGGGTTTAGGGACCTAAGATTCCAAGATTTCGCGGATTCAGGGTCTCGCCTGCAGAGTTCTGGGCTCAATATCAAATGCTTCTTTCCTACAACAACTATTACGCAAATCGCGATACTCAGCTATTGGAGGGGGACACGGAGGTCATCAATAGGAGTAGCCGAGGCTGTTGGCGTCGGGGAATTTTTGGACCATTGCTTTACTTACTTCTGGGGTCAAGGTCAGCGCTAAGCGGCAGTGTATTCACATACCCCTCCATTTGCTGTTATTAAATCCTGGGAGAGTTTCCATGAGTAGGGACCTTTTCTTCGGGGACCTCCAAAAAGCAATCCCTGAACCCAAAACCATGTGTGACCCATAAACAAGTCCCAAAAAGGTCAATGCCACTGCCTACCGACAGCTGGCAGCAGACCGCGCAGCAATGTGGAAGCCGCCACCTGCCAAATGTTTGGAAGATATAGGCTTCAGTTTTTCTTCATGGCTTCTACTGTTTTGCCATTTTCTAGGGAAGATTAAGGTTCCAGGTGTTTTTTAATGAGCTTAACACACTATTTTGCCATACTTGAAGATTTCGAGCTCAGGATTTTTCACAGTTTTTACCCTAACTATTTTGCAATGTTGGAAGATTTAAGGTTCAGGTCTTTCTCGGTCTGAAACAGAACTACATAGGCTGAGGGGTTTCTGATGGTCTGAAACATACTTGAAGTTTGCCACTTTGGAAGATTTAAGCTAGACTTTTTAAGACGGGTTGAGGCTTAATTGCTCTGCTCTTTTGGAGACATAAGGTTCAGTGGCTGTATTTTGAATTGTTTTGCAATGTTTGAAGAGCTTGGGGCCAGTGACCAGTGTTTTCAGGGTTTTAAGCTTGATTATTTCATTTGGCATGGTTTAACGATGTTGGGTTCTGGGGTTTTCAATGTGTCCCTTTTGACACTTGTTGTGAGTCGAAGGGGTTTGCAATATTCCCGAAAGTGATCCGGTCCACATCATACCGTCACAGACCCTTATAAGCCCCAAACCCTAAACAGTAGTTTCCGTTTTCTTTTCCATTATCCCTAAACTTGCCCACATATAATCTCATATAACCCCCATATCCCCCAGGGGTATATTCTTATGGGACCTAAACCCTAAACCCTAAATCAGGCCTCACGGATTATCATGGGTTCCCCCCGTACCCACCCCTCTATACTACCCCCCCGCTATGTTCCCCCTTGATTAAGGTTAATTTGCTGTTAGTTAAGGCCCATTAAGGGGGAAGCTAACGGAGTTGTATAGAGAGGGTGAAGTAAGCAGCCCTGAATGTAGTGTTCGTGGATTGAATTTAAGCTTCAGGGCTCACGATGTTCCAGGTTTCAGGTTTTAGGGTGCATGGTTTGGAGTTTACTGTTTAGGGTTCAGGTGCAAGGTTCAGGCTGTTACTTTGGGTGCACGTTTGCGGGTTTGGTTTAGGGTTGGGGGTTCAGGGCTCAGGTTCAGCGCTGGAGTTCTGAAGTGTGGCGGGTTGGTTGCTGAAATTCTGGATTTTCTGGCCAGATGTGATGGAGGAAGCTGAGCCGGGCTAGGGAGATCAGGGGTTTCCGGTTTAACAATGAGAGTGTTGAGGTTCGGAAGGGGTTTAGGGCTGTTTCGTGTGAAGGAGGGATGTGGGCGAGTGTCAAAGGCTACGGACTCTGACATATCTTGCCGGCATGCAGCATGGGCACACTTCAAGTGCATCATGACTTTTATCCTATTTTCAACGCTAAGGGTCAGGTCAAATTACATGTGTTAGGGATGCAGGGCTTAAAGTTCTAGATTGTGCGTCCAAGCTAGGATGTCTCGATTCGAAGTGAGGGTCAGAATAAGGTTCAGAGCACTACAGATTTGGTATCTCAGGTTTTGCAGTGTAGGGTTTAGGGATCGTACTGCGAAGCCGCCCTTTGTAGTATGAACCGTAGCCCACTCTTTGCTCTTCACACTCCACTTCCTGAACTCCACCTACCGCCTCCTCAAACCTACTCCTGGATGCCCAGTTTTTGTGGGCGTGTGCGTGTGCATGTGCGTGTGGGTATGTGGGTGTGTGCGCACCAAATTCAGGGTCCTCATATTGCCTTTCTATATATACACACTGTACACACATGATGTCTAGGGCATAAACTTATAACTCTAGAGATCCAAATAGCGCAGTGTGGGTACTGTGATATTTACGAACTTTAGGGCCCAATGTAGGTATTGAATGTATATACTTGCATCTCGAAACTCGTGTCCCCCACAAGTGTAGAGCAGCTTTTGACGTACCCCTGGGCTCCCTACACTCAAACCTTTTCCCTTTTAGGCTCGGTGGGACTTGGTAAGTCGTAGCAAGTGTACTTACCCAACGGGTCCACGTCACGTAGCTGTATAATCTATACTTGGGCCCTAAAGTAGTTATATGGGAACCCCTTGGCGCCCCACGTATATCCGATATTTCTACAACTACATGGACACTTGGGTTTATATCCCTGTCGCGTATGATGTCCACCGTATTGCCGCATGTTACCTACGTTGCAGGCCCCATGACTCTCCAGATAGTCCCTAAACCACCATGGCAGTAGTATCCATTCTTCCATGATCCCAATATAACCCCAATATACTGTAGTAGTCTCCATTGTCTTTTCCACTATACCCTACCATGGCACCCCGAGGTATCTTGGCCATTATTCTGCCACTGTTGGGCAATGGTATCGTGTTGTCGTGGGCCTCTCGTCCTATATCTGAACCCCCAGGCTATGAGAAATCAGTTTGGGTTTGGGGTTTAGAGTAGCTCTGGTAACTCTAGACTCTAAACCGTAAACCCTTTTTGTTAACGGCTTTGGCCATTTGTTTATTTGTGTTTGAAGTCCAGGTGGGGCTCAGGGTGAGTCATTCGTAGAGGGGGAAGGTGTTCTAGTCCGAGTCAGTGTCATCCCAAAATCAAAATCACTGACCTTCCAAAGCACACGGTCTCATGAGGTAGAAGAGCCAATTCAGGGCTGCAGGGTCGCAAGGTGCCAATCTTTGGATACTCAGTATAGGGTGGGGAAGAGGGACCCAACAAAAATGTCTTACGGATTGAAAACCAAACCCGGTGCAATTTTACAATGGTTGGAGAGGCCTTTGTATGGGCACTCCGATGCTGCCCCCACCCTGAGAGACGTCTTCCATACAACGTAAACCCTAAACCATGTATTGGAGTTCCTTCTCTGGTTCCTTACCTCGGCCATGAGTTCAGGGGCTTGAATGTAGGTTTCTTGGAGATTAAGTTGGGGGGCTTGGGGTTTAGGGTCAGGGGTAAGTTTTTCTAAGGTTTAGGAGTGCCTTTGAGGATGAGGCATCTCAAGGAGGCGGCCATGGTACCTAGACCCCTTTCAGGGATCCATAATAGCAGCCTTTAAACGCGTGGATGGCTATCTGGAGCGTGTAGGTTTCGGCTTGCAAAGATATGTCGCACAAGAAATGGTGTCCGACTTGGTTTCTAGCAGAAGGCAGCTGCTTAGCGAAATGACCTCTCATGTAATGATCAACAAGGGCCCCATGCTCACCCTCATGACCTGTATATAGTCCTGGGGCTCCCTTAGGCCTAATAGGGTTTAGGGTCTAGGGTGTAGAGTTTAGGGAGTTGAAGCCCCTCTGGATTCAGGGAATTCAGGGACAGCGCTCAGCTGCTTATTAAGTTCCCGACACACCTTATGTCCTGTGGGTCACCTACACAACTGTAGTTCGGGGATGTAGACCAGGGTCAGGCATACGGTCGGAAAGGATTTTCCATCAAAGCGAGCTGTTAATTCTCAAAATCATGGTTTCCGTCTATTAATACGTGGGAAAATGCGATCGCTCCTTTGCCAGAGTTTCCACACCAAGAGACAACTTTGAGGAAACCTCAACGCTACCTGCCCCAACATGTCCGCATTTGGGAGCTTCTAAAGTAATCCCTCTAGAAACCCCAGTTGAGACCCGGCGTGTGATTACAGATCCGTACGGTCCCTGAGGGCCTTTTCTCTTTAGAAGACCACACACGCGTCTGGGATATTCAATATTTTCCCTAATGGCTTTAATAAGGGACCCTATATACTAATATTTTTCCAAGGGTTTTAGGGGCCAACCCAGAAAACCCTAACCCTGGAAACTCAGGCAAGTGTAAGGCAATGCTGGGAACCCCCGGTCAGTCGGATTACTTTGAAGCCGTGACGCCCGCGCAAGTTGAGGAGAGATGCTTTGGGCGGGGTCCTGGGTTGAGGGTTCAGAATTTAGTTGGCATAGACTGCTTTTTAGCTACTGGTGTCGGCCCTTTTGAGTTTACGTTCGAAAGCGCTACAAGACGAAAGTTCAGGGGCCAGCAGCCTCAACAATGTGAAGTGGGGATTCACTAGTGATAGGGTTTAGGGTGTAGGGTTTAGGGTTTAGGGCAGGTCCCCACGTGCAAGGAATTTGCTGTGCCAAGGTATCTGGATGTCCACTACGTAAGAGCTCCGGTGCAATCCAACCGTAACCTGACGGTTCAGGTTTAGGGTTTAGGGTTCAGGATCCAGCTCTAAAAATGTATCTTCTCAAGCTTATTCAATGGAACATCACTACATATGTGCAGCGTCCTGCGCCAGAGGAACCTAAACAATACATTGCCCTGGGGTCAAACGTCCATACCTGAATTTCCTGGCTTCCACAGGGTGTAAAGTTTCTTCTTTTGGGTTTTCCTAGGCTTCTGCTTGTCTGGTCTACTTATAGTTCATGTTAAGGGTTTAGGGTTTCAAGCGTTGGGACCCCAAAGTATGCATGATACTAGCCTTTTTGACTACTGTTAAAGGTTTTGGGCTGTCATTTTGCGTACTTGTGAGGTTTTGGCTTCAGACTTGAAAGATGAAGGTGTAGGGTATGGGTTTCCGGCTTAGGGGTATTCAGGTTTCGACATTACGTACATGTTAGGGTGAAGAATCTGTAGGGCCCTTTGTAGATGATTGATTTTGCCCTAAACCCTAAACCCTAAACCCTAAAACCCTAAAACCCTAAACCCTAAAACCCTAAACCCTAAACCTAATGCATGTGAGCAGCCTAGTAGCATGGGGCTGGCTTTTGACTCATAGAACATCGGGCTTTGAATCCGAGGAAAAAATTGTTCCCCCCTTAATCCCTATATTCCCCCAGTTTCCATTTAATTTTCTATTTTCTTTTCCATTTGATTCTCCATTATAGGGGGATAATATAGTAACTGAGCCAGCATGCAACCTCATAAAGCCTTTTTTCTACGAGGAAACTGCTTTGTGCTGGGCTTTTTCGGGTTTCCAGATTATTTGGTTGACAGGTTCAAAGTTTCATGTGTAAGGCAGGTTCAAGGTGAGGAAAGTGCAAGAGGGGACCGCAGATATATGTGGCATCCTTTTGAGGGTTTAGGATTTTAAGCTTCAGGGTTTTGGGTTGACGTCTTATGCTAGGGTTTTCAAGTGCTATGAACCCCCCCGCACCAACAACCTTGGAAAGCTGGGGCCCTGAGCTCTACACTTGCTCAGTTCTTAACCCTTAACCACTCAAAAAGACCCATTAGAAACCCACCTCCTCAAATGGTCATCCACACACATAGCCATCTTGCTGAATTGTAGAAATCGAAACGAACATGGCAGACTAGCAGGCAGTGCACGTCAAGCCACATGGGAGTTTCCGAAAACCTGGTTCACATGTATGTATTCTCGAAGTGTCAATAACCTCTCTCCCAAAACGAACCCCCGCGTGTTGGAAAGCCTGAACCTAAACCCTACTCCCGCATAGTCTATGTCTTATGCAAGGATTATATTCCCTTATTCCCTACCAACCACCAGCATGAGTAAGGAGATATAACGGATGGTTTTTGGTCTTTTGAATCTAGGGGGTCCCTTTGGGTCGCCCCCTCAGGGAACCCTAAGAATCCTATGATTATGTCTAAACGCTAAAAACATCAAATCCTAAATCCTAACTGCAGGAGATGTGGAACTACACCCCAACTCTGAATCAAACTGACGCCAGGTCTGGACTAGCTGTTACCCAGAACTTTATGGGACTTTTAGGTTCCTTTACAGGGCTTTATAGGGACTTATGGGATATACAAGGTGTAGGGCTTCGGGATTACTTTGTGGGACCCTGGGGGGGAAACCTACTTATAAAGAGGTACAATAAGGTTACGACGGGTTGATAAGGGGGTTAGTAGGGGATATAGTTAACTAACTAACGGACTAACCAACCAACAAACTAACTCCAGGGTTGCTCTCAAAGCAATCATGGTCCAAGTACTCAGGCATCACATACATGGGGACTTTGTTAATTAAAGGAGGTTTTACATATGGGGATGTTATAGACACAGAGTTTATGTATGTACGTGAGAGTTCATGCTTTTTTGCGGATATCTTTGGTACCATTTATCCAAATGCACTAAAGTAGGTCTTATTCAAAGATTAGGATGTCCTTAAGGGGGGGGGGTCCAAGGGGGGTAGGTAGCCTAATAATCCCCATTATTCCCTTCTACTCCCGAAGCTTCCCTAAGGTTCCCCAAGACTCCCTCGTACCCTCCCCCCGTGAACCACCCACGTTTGGGTTCCTGTTTGACCCTGGGGTTAGGGCTGTGGGCTTCGGGTTCAGGCCTTTTCCGACTACAGCTTGGGATTGCGACCTGAGGGTGTAGCACTCAAGGTCTTAGGCTTTGAACCTCAGGGTTTTGTGCGTTGTGCTATTCGGAGTTGGGTGAAGAAATCAGGTGAACCTCCGGGTTTTGTGCCGTGTTGTATCCAGAGTTGCGTGGCAGTGGAATCAATTGGGCTGTATGGTATTCAGAGTGGGGGGCGGGAACATTTGGAGCTCTGCTTGCCGAAACTTCACATGAGATTGATAGGTATCTAGGCTTCTGCATGTCTGTATGCAGCCCATACAAAAATCCAGTCGCCTTTTTGTTTTTCCGCTTTCTTGTCCATTTGCTTTTCGATTCCTTGTAAATCTTTAAGTTGCTATCCTAAAACCCCAAACCCTCAAGCTATAGTCCCCCTCAAGTAGATAGAATATGGCTTTGGGTATGTTATAATAAGATCCCCGTATACCCCATATTCTATCTACTTAAGGGGGACTATAATCCTTCAACTCTGACCTGGAGCCTTTGCACACCACAGGCGCGCAATCAACCTTAAGCTACATGAACCTGGCACTGACGCCCTAAACGTCTCTCCATAAGCCTGCTGCTGTAGGGGTGATGTAGGGAGCATATACGGATGTGAATATGTATATATATATACATATATATATATATATGGATGGGGAATCTAGGGATAAAGAAGGGGATTATGTGGGGAATCCTGGGGATGATATATGCTTATTCTAGGGATGATATGGTGATCTACCCCCCCTCTGACCAACGTGGAACCCCATGTAGCCCCCTTTTTTGGGCTCAGTCATGCGTACCGCAAGGGACTACGTATTTTAGGTGCCCTATGAACTTCATAATCTAGGGGCTGTTACTGTAGTGGGGTTTGACCTAACACCACTTCAGAAGGAAGTTTTTTTTTTGTTTTTTCTGGCCTGTGGTGAGCTAGGAATGAAGGAATGGATCCTTATAGCAGAACCCATTATCATAGTTTCCATGTTCTTTTCCATTGCTTCATTCCCAGCTAACCAAAGGCCAGTTTTGGGCCCTTCCGCAAGTTTCACGTAAAATCGGGGGAGTGCAGGCTGTAAGCTCAAACTTCACCGTACTGGTGCTGAAGGAAGAGTGGCAGCGGGGAGTGAATATAGGTATCATCATAAAATTGCTGAGGGTTTAAGGTTTAATTAGGTGGATTATACAGTGATTATCGCAGGGATCCACTCCCGCACTCTCCCTTAAGCAGCCCCCCCCAAACCCCTTAACCTGAATGAAATCCTTATGCTTACGGTTTATAGGGTTTAGGGTTACATCCTAAGCCCCTTGCCCGTATGATTACTTGAAACATTAGCCACATTATTCTTTCATTGTTCTTTTTATTACTCTAGCAGGATCTACCCCATAACCAGGAACCATATTCTACTTGCTCAAGCCCCTCCATCACATCTAGGAAAGCGGCTTCTGGGAGGGTTTGCAGAACAACTTCCGAACCCACGCCGCCTGACTTTCCTGGGAGCCAACGGAGAGGTTCATACGCCGCCGTAATGTATCAATCAGGGGTACGATAGTCCGCAATATTTCATAAATGGTGTTCCATCTTATCAGCTGCTGCGTGGGGTCTACGGTAGTGGCAGCAGTGGCGGCGGTGGTGGTAATGGTCGTGGTGGCGGAGAGACGCGATGGCGGCGTTGGTGCTGGCTGTACTGGTTGTGCCGCTGCTGGTGCTTGTTCTGCTGGCGGCGGTGGTAGCTGTAGCTTCTCTGGCTAGTCATTTTTTGCTTAGTACACATGAAATGGGCCAGCTTTTGAATTCTTGCGCGGAGTAGAGGATTTCAGCGTTTAGACGTTGACTTTTTTAAGCCACAAAATAGGGGCGATGATCGAATTAGGAGTCTAGGCCCTAGGCGGTGCATCGCCAATGTATTTGGTGTTGGGATTGTTTGAACCTTGAAACCATTGAGGAGGCTTTCTCAGTTCGTCAGTGTGCTTGCATAATACATTGGCATTCATTTTCCGGTTCCTCGTCACGTTGGCATTGTGGAAGAGAATCCTTCCAGCATCCAGCAAGGACCTCTAGACGCTAAAGCCTAAACCCTAGGCTACGATTTAAAACCACTAGGGGGTGGCCTAGGGAGCGTAAATCATTGTACTCATGTGGGATTATGTGGAGAAGGGCTTCGGGTTGTGTCTCTATTTACTTGCCCAGTCTGATCTACAAAGCATATGCTTCAAGCGCTATTGATATTCAGAACCTTGCATGACCTTACTATACCACAGTACCCTACTTCCCATAGCACATACGGCCCTCATGGCTATGCAAGATCTACAGCACGCACCTTAGTGCCACAACCCTGTGTCGGACAGAACTTCTTTCCTCGTTCGGGTTGACTGAGCCTTACCTTAAACCTTGACTTTCAACCTTAAACCCGGGAACCTCGGTAGTTTTTGAGAAGCGTCTCAGTCCTTTTGGTCAGCCTTGCCTGTCTCCACTATACCTCTACGGTGTAGAGGAAAATACAAAGTAGGATCCTAAGGTAAGCTGAATGGGACCTTACTTCTGGGCCAAAACCCTAAACCATCAAGCTGGATCAGGTTCAGGTAGCTACAAATTGTAAAGGGCAGAGGTGAAGGAAAAACTCACACAACATCCAAATGCCCGATTTGCAACTTGAAAAGGCACGAAATGAGGTGGGTTAAGGGTTCAGGGTTCAGGGCCACAGACTTTGGGCTTTTGGGGCAGATAAAATTCACCAGGACGTTCAAGGCAGGCGTACTTGGAGGGTCATGGGGAAATTAGTAAGTGGGTTAATATGGGGATAACTAGGCTTTTTATATGGGTTATAAGGATTATGAACCTACTTACTAAGTCCCCTTGACCCTCCAAGTAGGAAAGGGTCTGAGGCTTATGGAGAGGTTTAAGATTATCGGGTGAGAGCCCCTATGTAGTAGTAGTTTGCATTTTCTTTTCCATTATCCCTATATAACCACTCATCTTACAGTATAATATACCATAATATACTTAGGTTTGGGAATTTGGGGGTATGCGGGGCCCTAAGAATGGGGGTTCGGAGTTCTGGCTTCCTCTGAGGTTGCTGCCTACCCTGTAAAGTTGGCTGAATATCTGCTCGAGATAGCACAATGCTTCATTTGTCTAGATGAGTATATGGGTATTAAGACCCAACAGTGTGGGGCCCAATTTTTTTGCTTGTGGGCTTGTTTTTTTCGGCTTACGTGAAGAAGTTTCCTCGTCTCCTCTTCAAACCCGAACACGTGCATGATCTGGGGTGAAAGCTATGCCCGGACCCTTTGAGCCACTACCCCCCCAAAATATGGGAAAAGTCACTGGAAATTCGGGTCTACTGACATGTAGGGTTGGCCCTAAGCCCGAAACGCTGATGCCCAAGCCTTGAACCTTGCCTCTTTAAGGACAAGAACGGCACACGGTTGAAGCCGAAGGCCGTTGGGTTCAGCAAAGCCGGGGCACATTGAATTTCCTTGTGGTTAACGTGATGAAGGACTGGCCTAATCACTGTCTACACTTGGGGAGAATTGAGGAACTGCGTCAAAGATAAAAACCTCCAACCCCTATTAAATTAGCCGCCACAAAGTTCAGGATGTAGTGTACCTGAAGACTTGGGTTGAAGGCTTTGTAAAGCCTTGATACCACCTTGTTGGGGCTCTTTCCATGCCTTGGTTGCTGGGGATCGGCACAGCAATTCCTCTGCAGAACAGCCCGTAGAGGTCTGCTCATAAACCAGAAGCCCCGTGTAAGATAATCTCCAACCTGACTGGTTCGCGATACTTTCAGCCATACACGCGAGGAAAAAGAACCCTTCCGCGGCCCCTATCTCTAAAACTCTGAACCCAAAAGTTGAAACGACGGTCTGTTTTAAGTGTGTTTTGTTAAGGCCATTCCCTTGACTCTGCCTGGACCCAAATCTCGGAGCCAAGACAGCAAGCGGAGGTCCTCCCTCGAGTGGTACAATGATTCTGCGTGTCGTCGTAGGATAATGTCCGGTCTTCTTTCCAGACTTTCCCTAATAGACACTGTTATTCTCGGTGCTCTTGTTGTTATTAGTATTGTTAGTATTATAGGAAGTATTTTTTCGGAGCTATTATTCTAGGAACTAGTATTAGCCAGTGATTTTTCTGATTTTCAGCTGTCACAGAAACTTGACCAACGTCGCGGCATGTCACCGTGGCTTGTGTGCCAAGCTTTCAGGTCACCCTGGTGAGGACATTCCCGGCACTCACACTTCCCAAATGAGACCTGAGGATTCTTGAGCTAAAGCTAGCTTGAAGTGATCTTTTGGGCCGGGGGCGTGCTTAGACACCCTCCTTTGCGTAGCTCCCAATGTTCCAGATGTACAGGCGATGTTCTGCTCAAAGTTCGCCGCAGCCGTGGCCCATTCTGCAGTTGAGATTCAGTACGTGGTGGTAGTACAGATACAGGACAACAATCCTACTATAACCTTGAATACACTTTATATTACCATTGTGTCAAGACGTTTCTATCCATGGTCTCGCACCATGTTTATCCAGTATCAGTATTGCTGACGTTTTCTAACGATTCAGGCTGCTTTGTAAAGGTCTCGGAACGCTGCCAGTGCTCCTGTGCTGTCAGTTTCATGATGTGGTTGTGGAAGCCCGCTGGCGTGATGGTAGTGACGAGGAGAATGATGCTGATGAGGATGATGATGAAGGTATGCACGATGACAAGTAGCATGTTGATGCTGTAAGAGGAGGATGACGATGCTGATGGCGGTGATGATGGTGGTGATGGGGTGGATGCTGGGGATGATGATGTGGATGATGATGTGGATGACGATGAGGAGAAGGAACATGACGATTATGATGATGATCACGATGATGATTGCGATGATTGTGATGATGGTGTCGATTCTGATGTTCATGTAGATGACGACGCAGGCTGATTGTTATCATAAGCGCTTTCTTGTTCTTGTTCTTTTTCATCAGGCGTAATAGGATCAGAAGTAAAGTGGAGGTGGAAGCAGCAGCAGCATTGTGCGTCCCTCTCAGATGAGCGTAGGCACGTGACAAATCAATGATGGTGGCTGGTTGCCTTTGTCAACACTTCACTATTCAGAACGCGTGAGCGGTTTTGGCTTTTAGGGTTCCCTTACTACCCCCGCATACCACGCGCGCGTAGGTTTCACCTTATTCGATGCCTGAAGAACAGTAGGTACGGGAGATCCTTGGGGGCAGTATAGGCCTAGTCTAGGCATGATTTGAACGTACCCTAAACCCTAATTACACCCTCAACCCTAGATGCTGGGGTTTAGGGCCCAAAGTGCCAACCTGCTCCACGAGCAACTCAGGAGGGCCCTACCTCTGAGTAATGGGCACGTGCATGTTTGTCTTTGGTACCCTCTTGGGGTCCTTATAATAAGGGTTATAGGGGGGGACCTGATTTGGGATACCCATAATAAGGATTACAATATATTGGGGTCTATATTGGAAGTGCCCTGTTAAAGGTTCGTACTTTCGGTTATCTAGTTATCTAGAGCATTCTATAACCCTAGGCCCTAGGAGCCAGCTGAAATTCCAATTTTAATCTGGGCCCCGGGAAACTTGGAGTTGCCGTTATTCCTCCGGAAAAGGTAGATTGGGTTTCTCAGGATTTTGTCCAGCTGTTGATGGAGGAAGTCTTGCACCATTTGAGATCTCCACTGTGCTGTTAATCCCAGAGGGTCCACATATACAACTATTAGGGAATTAGGCCCCAAAATGCCATACTATAGGAGGAATTATGGGTCCCAATTCCCTAATGGTTGTACATGTGGACCCTCTGGGAATTATAGGATGCAATATTCCCTCCCGCAATATGTCAGTAGATGTCTTACCATACCCTTACCCATATATATATATATATTGGGTTCCTGTCCTTAAGTCCCTATATAATTTTATACTATCTATAACCCAAGAACCTACTATATGGGTACCTGGGCTTCTAGGGATAACTCCCATATTCATCGTATCATCCCAGACCCTGTTCTCCGACACCCCTGACAGAGAGTTCCTAGGGTTTAGCGTTCTCACCTCGAGAAGTAAGGTCTACTTGGAAGTCCATTGTACTTCTAACCTACTTAGTAACTGTAGTTATAAGCCAATTATATCTAGGGTAGCTGTAGTTATGGAACTAATATATAGGTTATAACTACACTTACTAAGTAGGTCATAAGTACAATGAACCTCCAAGTAGGGAAGGCCGCGCTATGGTCGTTGACGTCTGTTGCTGAAGCTGTCGTTGCTTTGAATTTGAACACTCTTGATATGATGATTGTGAATAGCACGGTCTGTGAGTCTTAATGATGACCCTCCCATTTTTTCACTGCTTACTACGTTCCGCCTGACCCTCCAAGTAGGGATACATACTCCATGGACGCTATGCCAGCCCTTAGCCCAAAGCCCAAATTTACACCCTAAACTCTGAGTCATAAACCCAACCCCCACGCACTGCTATCTCAGGTTTGGTCGTCAACCATCGGAAACCCGACCGCGATCCCAACCGCCAAGCCACGTACGCGTGACCTCTGGCCACCTGGTTTCCAATTCAGGGTTCAGATTTTAGGGCTTGGTATCTCCGATTTGGGGTTAATTTGGCGTCTTGGCTTTAGGACTTAGCCCATATATAGGGATCCAACCTAGAGAGCCATTTGGTACCTAAATTTGTGTCCGGGGGTTTTGGGCTTGTCTGCAATTATAAAAAGGTCCGTTCTAGATAAAAGCGCCCGTTTGCAACAAGAGGCCTTCTCAGCGATTCCAAATAAACCGTCAAGATCCTGCAATCCTTGAAGATTATGAGGCTCCCTCCAACTAACCTTCCAAAGCTCCATGCTTAATCCAAGGACTTCCTGTAACCTTCTCCCCAAATCCGGAATCCCAACCATGCACGCACATACCGACGATGTGCACACCCGGAAGTTGCTCATCAACGACTTTCAGCCCCGCCCTGAGACGTCAGCTCCACAGTCTGCGCCACTGGCGCTTGTAAAGACAAAGACAGCGTTGCATCGTTCTGATGGGACATGTCCATCGATGCATCCGTCGTGAAACCCGGCAAACCCGCCCTATGAAATCTTCGTCTGCCCAAACCATAAAGGAGGTGATAGACAGGATTTCAGTCTGATGTAGTGGGCTCACCAGCTGATGCTGCAGCATCAACCTTAAATAAGAAGAGTTCCGGATGATAGAAAACTCTAGGACAAAAAAATCCTAGAGCAAAAACCTGTGGATTATTAACATTGACGAGGGACACCACATGACAGAAGAGATGCACTTTCGGCCGTACTCTGAACATTTTCATGCCCCCTTTGCTAGTGAGGCTGGCCAACGTAGAGTATCCTTCCTTATTTGAACAGAGGCCCTTTCGCATGAAGGTCTTGAAATCGTGGGAAATGTTTGTAGAAAAAAAACTTGTACAAAGTCAGACAAAGATCCAGGGCACGCCAGCCGTCAGCAACGCAATCTGCCGCAACATCACGCGGCAGCCACGTTCCATGTGCATAGATTCGTGTCCAGAACCCATGAGCTGCATTAAGCGTGTACTTCAACACCGCCAACATCTCCCGAAAGGGATCCGCCTCGTTTGGCCCTATATCACCCTGTACAACACCCCAAACCCTAAACCCTTAACCTTCAACCCGCTAACCCTAGGCAAGCTTTATACGTTTAGGGCTTAAATATAGGGTTTATATAGGGTTTAGGGATCGACCCGGCAAGGGAATATAAGAATTCCCGTCACAAACTTCCGAGGTTCGACCATCGATTCATCGACCTCGCTTATGAAGTTCTGCAGCCAGGAGCCTACGATAGCTGCATCGTGGCCCTTCCCAAGACCAGATGGGAAGTCCGAAAACCTTGGGTTCAGGGTTTAGGGCTTATAGGGTTTCAGGTTTAGCTGCTTTGGGTTCATAATTCCGAAGGGCTGATTTTGGAGCCAGGCAAAAGTTGCGTGCACAATGAGAGTGTCACAAAACTATTGGGGTATTTGGGGTTTCTTACATATATATATATATTAGATATATAGATATAAGGATATAGCTTTCATGGGGTACCGTGCACTGCTTCGGGACCTTCCCAATTTAGCCCTGAGAATCTTGCATAGCTCCGAATACGGTTGAGTAGGGTTGTATGCAAACTAGATTGGTCTTGGATACTCATTCAGCTACTCAGATTTGGCAGAGTTGGGAAGGTCAACGCGGCAAAATCCAACAATTCATTACAAGTGTCTAACTTGAGAACATGTACTCAAATGAGGTAAGGAACGACTTGCCACATTTCAAAGTCTTGTATGAAAAGTCCAGCACTGAGGAATACTTTTGATTGCGTTCAAGAAAAGCTTGAAATGCGTTGTAGGCCGTATCCAAACATGTTTCCATCCTGCCAGTCCCGAAGAGCTGCATTCTGGCTGCCAGAATGATAGCAGATCCATATAGATCCTTGCCGATGCCCACTATAGCCCATGTGTGAGCAGGGTCCACCCTTGCTCTTGAAGGATCGTTACCAAGTGGCAAACTTCTGAGATTTGAAGGCTTACCTGGCTTGAAGGGGTCGCTGGGGACATAGTTTGCCGGCAGATTCTGGATCTCGCCCTTCACATTCCACCAATCCTTTGAGGCCCTATAAATCTTACCCTATAAGCCCTTAACAACGAATTGCTATAACATGATCGAGCCCAATTAAAAGGGTTAAGTGCCAAGTCAGTCAGGCATCAGCATGGTCGCATAAATGGCAGACCCTTCGACAGTTGAATCCCGTAGCCAATCGGAATGCTGAACGCAAAAAGGGCCAATCCCCCTTGCGTCCCACATAGATCAATTTGTAGACATACGTTTGATTCTTCCAGCGCACCTTCAGGGAAATTATAGAATAACATTTTCAGGAAATACCCCGCCCCCCACCCCTCTCAAGTACAACAGAGGATGCCTGCACTCCATCATGATGCAAGGTGTTGATGTCATTGACTACTGCGCCAAGCAATGTTTGAAGAGTATGGTCTTTCACGTACATGCCACTCGGGATAACCGTCAGCAAGAGGCGACTACAAAATGTGTGCCTCACAGGGACTACGATTATAGTATATACTGAAGACCACCACATAAAGTGAATAAATGCTAAAATCCTGCTAACATGCAGCATCTGTGACCCTTTGAGGTTGGAAGTGGACATGTCCGGCGAAGTTATCATTGGTTGAGCGCTCAGCACCAGTACAGGTCTTTTGGCAGAACCCCTCCCTTCGTCTCCGTGGAGCAGAAAGGGAATGCAGAAATCCCAATTGTGTCCAGGTTCATTGAAGAAGGGCAACTGTGGCTCGATGATTTTGAACCGCTCCCAAAACAATCTCAAAGTGAGGCCAAACTGCTTCGCTTGGTCCAAATTTTGGCCTCCCAATAGGCAATGTCCACCCTTGCTAAAGATGGTCTGACACCAGTCTGAAAGTTTCAGTAGAGGAAACTTCACCAATGCCTTTTTCGTAACACCTCGGGGAGCTAGGCGAACAGGTGTGGAAATAAAGCTGAATCGTACACGTAGCTGGTGGCCACTTTTGTGCAGGAGCTTCTGCAAGTTGTTGCAAGCATGGGAATCGTTTCTGTGCTTGGCACATTTGGCCATATCTCTCAACATTGGGTCGATGACACCTAGGAATTCGAACTGGAGTCCCTAAACCCAAAACCCTAGACCCTAACCCCTATATATATATACCCTATAATGAATTTAGGATTCGGGGTGTAGATTTTGAATCTTATAAAGATATGAGATGATATGAGGAACCATGACTTCCAATTATGAACTGAGTGGCCATATAAACTCAGTCTTCGATGAGCAACCGTGGCCAATCGAACCACACGGGCAGCGTACTCCGCCTTGTAATTTGCTGGGTTGGGAACTTATAAGTTAGAATGGGGTCCTCGGGTTTAGCTATAAGGGATCAAATTTACAGCTTACAAATTTCAGATGTCCTGTTTAGCGGTCAGGCTCATATATACGGGCTTGGAGTTTTGAATGCTTTTGCTTCAGGTCTAGGGTCAGGGAATTGGGCTTCTCCTATGGCCTATATGTATACATATATATATATACCAAACCCTAAACCCAAAAGAGTTGAATTTCTACAACAACAACAACAACAACAACAACAGCAGCAGAATCAAAACATACCATTTACGGCTTCTATATGGCGTCTGAAGCACCCCTTCTTCGAATCCGATAATGAGCTCATCAGCCAAATCCTCATCTTTGCCGAACTCAGGCTCGAAGCGTGCACCTTGCGCAGCCGAGTGGAGGAGAGGGTTTGAAATGAAAGGGGCACGTATCCCGCCTGAAAGTAAGTCCGAATCGGGTAACACCTCCGGAGCGGTTGAGATCTAGATCAAGGGTTGGGTTGTAGTTTGGTTTGAGATAGGCAAGCACAAGGTGGACTGCGCGCGCATCATGCAAGACAGTCTTGGAATCTTTTGCTCAGCAGCTGTCCCCGGCCAGGATCTGCGTGAATTGAGATAATTCAACCCGGCTATCAGCTATCATGATCGCAATGCTGCTCTGCAGCAGATCATAAGAGTTTCCAAGATTGAAACGCATGGGCCATGCCACACAACTCCTGTCCCATACCTTGGACATGTAGAGCCCCTAATTTTTTGCCTTCTTCGAAGGGGGCTTCTTGGGTGAGGTTTTGGGTGCAGCTTTTGGCTTGCCCCGCTTTCCAGCATCACCTGCGCAGGAGGGATCCGGCTTCACATTCCTGGGCATGGCATAGAGGCAGGATTGAATGAAGGGTTCGTACTGGAGACTAAGGGATGGACCTCGCTCTCACCACCAGGTTGTTCAGGGCTATATCAAGCTTCGTGCGCTCCGTGTAGGCTGCTTTCAAGACAGTATCATCAGGCCTCGAGATTTGGGAATGTTAGGTTTTAGTAGCTGGGATTTATATATGGAAATTGGATTTGGCTTGACCGGCTTTACCCGCAATACTTGAATACATGAAATGGCCTTGACTTCCCGGAAGCAATAGCAGACTGTATCTGCTCCAACTCATTGTACTGCTTCTGGAGTCTCTCGACCACATTCTTCAGCTGGGAATGCAACCTGGGGAAAATGTAGCTCCAAATGCCCTATAATTAACCCTAAACCCTACATAGACCCTATACAAACCCGAACCCCACAAAGACCCCATATATATTCCAAAATTATAAACCCAAACCCTAAACTGGGCTATTTCAAATCCACCTGCAGAGTACACCATGAACCGAGGCACGTCATGGCCCGATCATGACCCATCTTCCGCAACTTCTCCTAGCAGATAGATCGTTAGCAGGCAACCCCTTGACTAGGCAAAACCAGCTAGATGAACTTCGGTCCATAATGGTATCAGCATTGTCCATCTTGCGGCCGGCAACTTCAACGAATGCCGGAAGTATGGAGACATAGGACTGGTTCTGCTGGAGCGTCGGATACGTAATCCTAAGTGGAGGGGATGGGGTTGGGCAGGATATCCAATGCTAGATTGCACGAGTTTGGTATAAGCACCGTGCTGAGCCGGGGTATCACGGGGATTCTTTTCAGTAGAGACATGCATGGAGGAACTTAACTGATGGTACGCAGTAGACCGTATGCTTCGGAGCCCAAGCAACACGCGGGCCCAACACGGAGCCACAACTTTTCCACATCTTGCCTGAAACTCATGCTGTCTAGTAGCTTGAAAGACCCACCCCCAGTCGCAGCAGCCATAACATCCTCGCCCGCAACAGCACCCAGCGAATCCAGGAGCGCATCGTCAGCGGCATTGGCCACGTCCGGGATCATGCCATCCAAGAGGTGCCCATTGGGATCCTGCGTGGGTTGACTAGATTAATACCCCTGGCCTTAAAACTTATCAACAATTCATCGCAGTACACCCATATGGCTGATAAAGTCCTCGCTTTCAAAAGCACCCTCTTGCATGAACTGCTCTCCCTCTTCGTCGAGGAACTCGAAAGTGTCTTGCAAGACAAAGCGAATTTCTTCCTCTCCGTGCACAGGGTTCACCCTTTTCCGCCCCGGCTTTTGATCGGCCCACTGCCACGCATTCAAAATCATCTTCCTGATAGGGTTTGTGTGGGGCCTGAAGGGTGTTGGAACTAAAGCCCACAAGGGAAATTACAAACACTTGTAGCTGAATCATATATGGAAAACCCAGAAATTGCCACCCTGCTAAATCGGATATGCTTGTATGGTTTGCATGGCAAAACATCTGTCTTGGGCTTTACATAGAATAGAATCTCACTCAAGGGTTTCGTACAGCTACGACACCTTAAGAACCTCGCCCCCTCAAAGGCTAAAAAAACTCGATCTCATTACACTGAGGAACTTCGTCCACTTTGCTTCATGCTCCAAGTAGACCTTCGTGTACCATCCACCATGCTTCTTCAACTTCTTCATCTTCAATTTCCAGCGTTTCAAGCTGTTTTCCACAGCAGGAAAGTTCCCGTACTGGAGGAGAAGTGCCCGTATCTTTTCTTCTGGGCACAACAGCAAGATTACCCACAAAGCATGCCATCTACAACTCATTCAGCTCATCAAGCTAAGCTACTTCCATTCTCCATCTTCCACAATTTCATAATATCTTCACTGCACTTGAGCTCGCCATTGGGCTTGGGCTGGCAATAGCGATAGCACCTGAATTGCTTTCAATTTGGGGCCCAGAGCCTAGGGTCATAGACCGGAACACCAGAGGGGTTGTAGCGCCTTTAGGGAGGGTTTCTTATATAGGCTTTTTTGGGTTTGGACCGGGACATATAGGGGTACATATAGGGCCTAATGCCTACAAAAAGGGATAACTGAAGTGTTCATTTAAATGATTACCACTAAGGTTGGGGATGATACATATGGTTGGCAGAAGCTGGGATAACTACACGGATAGAGCTATGCAGGGATCTTGTGGGCTTGGACCAGCGAAAGAGGCCAGACCTATATGCAGCAGGAAAAGTACTTTTATAAAGCAGCTGCAAGAGCTGAAATACTTCCACCAGAGGCCATCCCGCTTCGGGGGCGTCTTCTTAATCGAAGATGGGGTGGCCATGTCTTCCATCACACCCCCCGGAGAATCTGGTCCCTTCTCTGATGTAGGGGGTAAGAGGAGGGGTCTAATGGCAGGCGAGGCCACGCTTCCACCATTACCTTTCCCTTTCATGGCAGAGCAGGTTGCTTGCATGAACTTGGTCGGGTCTTGGGCATCTTGAGAATATGTCTCTGTACGGCACCAGCGCATTTTGCTTGGTGGGGTCATCTGGGCTGGAGGAGTTGGGGACTCCTCCCGCATTGTCTCAGGGAAGGCATGAACAGCATGACGTCCAGTCGCATCCGCTATGATAGCTCCTGCAATCCCTAGTACGTATAACCTATGGGCCCTTGTGGGACTTCAACCTACACATATATATAGATATATATCTACAATATGACCCTGGCAAAATTGGAACACCCTGCTAGCAGCTCCTTCGAGGCCTGGGGAGACCGGAGGCGGCGACCGTCCTGCCGGCTGGCTTGCAAGCTGCTGGGTAAGCGCGTCGATTTTGGCACGGGATGCCTAGCAGAAGCATCTAGGTTCAGAAATGGTTTCGAAGCTTGCAAACATTAAGGGAGAACTATGCAGGCATGGTAATGCAAGACTAGTAGCCGCTATCATCGCTTCCAGATCCATTGCTGTTCTTTCGGCGGAAGAGGTGTTCGTCCCCAGCAGGTCAAGGTCAGCAGCCAAGGTATTACACGATTGGAAACGTGAAGTCATGGGCAGCTAACACAAAATGCGTAGCTGCAAGCCACAGCAAATACATGTATGCTGGACATATTGCTGCTATATAGGCCCCAAGCAAGCCCAAAACCCGAATCCAGGCCAACACTTGCTCCGAAGCCCCGAATTGCAACACCGAGCCGCAACTGAAAAGTACGGATTTTGGAATTGCGCCCGAGTTGCGGATATTTGCGCCCGAGTTGCGGATATTTGCGTCCCGAGTTGCAAACCCGATTTTTCTCCCTTTCGTTCAGAAACATTCTAATTTCGGGATTTGTGGCCCGAATTCCGAATTTTGCTTCTGCTGGAATGAATTATTGGTCTGAAAATCATCTGGCTCAGGCTTGCTGCTTCGTCTGCAGCTGATCAACCTAGGCTATATAGAGGTTCTACATGTACATGTCTCGACATCATGCGCCTATCTAGCATCCAAGCAGCTTCTTTCAAGAGGTCGTGCTTGAACGCCTTCATTGGAATTACCCAATCATCGGGGATCCTGCGCACTCTAGCAGAAAGTTGGCTTCAAAGGGGGGTTGCAATTGGTGATTCCTGTATTATAATGCACAACTAGATCTGTCCTGACATACTTGCATGTGTACAAATACTCGAAGACTGGAAGAAGATCAGCTTCGCCCCAGATGTCGCCAATAGGCATGTCATGAAAAATCTGGCTCGGAGGCTTCTTAGGAACCTTGATGCCAAAGCGTAGAAATGCTTCAGCTGGCAGCTTCAAAGCTTCCTGATAGCACTTGTGTATCTGTACCCCCAGGCCAGTGGGATAGGCCCTTAGCACATCAACAAGAATCATTCAATTCAGGCATGCAAGTACAGGGATTACAGGGTTAACTGTTAACACAAAGTTGAGATGCTGAGTTTTCTTCAGCGATGGCAGGCCGCACCACCTTTTCACACCGTTGCGATCCAAGTATTTGCCTCAGCTAAAGTGAGTTTCGGTCCGGAATGAATGTGGTTTGGTTGCAGGGCCTCGTATACTTAGGGGTACTATGAGGATACGTATAGGACCTCACTACATCATGGGACAAGGACCTGCAGAGCCTATAGCCATTGTGGGAACCGTTTAAGTATTTCGAACGGGTATTTCCGCTAGATTGCACCGTCTAAGGCTTTTCCTACACGATGAAGCCAAGGGGCGGGTGGTCTTGGTTTCCAACTTCTTCTGGCGGAGCTTTTTGGTAAGCTTTCCCAAGTCAAGTCGACCCATACTAGGAAAATTTCCCATCATCTTCGTCCTTTTGCATGTTTCTGCGCCCAGCAATGCCATCCAAAACTCCACGGTGTAAACCTGCAGAATCCATATGGGCGAAGAAGCTAAATGATGGAAGCCACTCACAAACTTTTTTAAAATTCACCTATATGGGCAAGAACTCTTGCAAGGGTCTATTGGGGGAATATAATTATAGATGAAAAATTACCTTGACCTAGCAAGAATGTGTGTGATTCCAAGTAACGTAGCATACTCGGTTGCAGACCCACTGCCACCGTCTATGCCAGTGCAGCAAAGTCTGCGCCGGCTGTTCCACAAGGAAAAACCCATTCTTCGATAAGATCAATAAGATCAGGAGGCTCATCCTTGGGCTGCTTTTCGTGATGCTATAAAAGACAAGACAAGTGAGGACATGTGCCCCACAATATCATAATGGGGTAATAGCGGTAGTAGTCGTCGTAGTAGTAGTAGTAGTAGTAGTAGTAGGAGTAGGAGTAGGAGTAGGAGTAATAGTAATAATAGTGGTGGTAGTAGTACTAGCAGTAGTAGCAGTAGTAGTAGTAATAGCGGTAGTGGTGTAGTAGTAGTAGTAGTAGTAGTAGGAGGCTGCAGCAGGAGTCTAGTACTCATGCAAGCGCCCAGGGTCCGGGAAACTGTGCAATGGGCTTGCGAAACTGAGTCATACGATGTCTGACCATGGGGGCTCAGAATCGATCTTTTAGACGTCCCACGGTTCGGGGCACCCCAAGATGCACAGCAGGGCGCAAATAGCGACAAAGCTTGGTCCACCTGGTTCAATATGGTGAAGATGCATAGCCTTGGGCAGGCAGATCTAGAGCATTACGTGATTTCAGAAATAGGTTCGTTCAAATAGCCTGCCTATTGCAAACCATGGCACAGGAAGCCTGCGGATCCCAGAAAATCCATACATCCTGCGCCAGATTCATCATAAACCATATCGAAGCTGGCCACCCGGTAGCCGTATTGATGCCTGAGCTTCAGCAATCTGTGAATCCTGTTTTGGGCTGCTGAAGTTATGGGGTAAACTCTTCAATCTAGAACAGCCTAGCAGCATGCGTTTGCTTACTCTGCCAACGCCGCTGAAGCATTCAAAGAATTGGTACCGGCGATCACCCCAATCCATCCCCGTGTGCCACGTGAGCAGCATTACCTGAGCAGCTAATTCAACAGGACTTCAAATTGAGGCTGCTCCTCATCATGGTTAGTGCAATCTGGATGAGACATGTTTCGATGGCCACAAAGACCTGCGCGCGAATACTTTGATATGTGTGTTCCGTCATGATGTCCCCGCCCCGCACGCAGACTCCCGCACCAAGCCTTCGGAGCCTGAACTTGAAGAAGACCAGTAAAGATCGATCCGGCTGGATGCGTCAGATTTGCATAGGTTAGCCAGACACCCTTGCCCCCGTTCCAAAACATTTCTTATATATACGAATTTGCTATTTACACTGCGGCTGCTACACCTATCGTCCGGAACTCACTTGGACCTTTCCCCATGCAGCAACATTAGATAGCTGAGCTTGCATAAGCCTTGCGCAACTGCCCTCAATTGAAGCTGGTGCATCAAGAACTGCACGCACATGGGATGAACTGAGCTTTCCTGCCCGAAAATCTATAAATAACAATTCAGAACGAAGAAGTCCTACAACAACCCGCTTCAGCTCTCCGATGTGTTAACATATGGGCCCCCAACTTTCCCAAACCTAAACCTCCAGAAGTGGAGCACCCGCGCCTGCAAGGCTGCCTCGAATGGACCAGCCTTCCACACGGCCCGACATCCGAAGGAGTCATCAGCCTGGCATGTAAGGGACTACGCATAGGGCTAGTTTGGGTTTGGGGGTGCTGTCATCGCTATTTCCACAAGATTGAGTCCATGCTGCGCACAAAGGCTCTTCGGTGCTTGTTCCCCTGGCAAGCGCCCAACCGTGGCTAGCAGCAGGCTAGGTCGCAGTGTGACACAACTTAGCAGCACATCGCCCTTCCAGCACGCGCTCTACAGAACCCCTTGCGTAAGGTCGCAGAAACCCAAGCAGCCACATGAAACGTAGGAAGCTTTACATAGCACTGAGGCTGTGAGGTTTTCGTAGTAAATATTCTCATGGATCACATGGCTGCCGCATCGTGGCTGCTTTGCAGCAATCATCTCACTCTTCATCCCGGTATGCCTAGGGTACGACAAGCGCACTGAATTCACCATAGTCACACACATTGCAGGCGCATTCACACACACAGAATGGTGGAAAATGCAGTCACAGATTGCAACTAAAGAACTCGCTTGGCAACTTCCCGGCAAATCTCTTCGCTTTCACCCCTGTCTCGTGCCTCCTTCATGGCCCTTTGATACGCCTTGCTTTCCCTTGCATTCTTAGTCTTCTGTGCAGCCTTGGGGTCCTCTGCTTCCAAGGCTGGTCGTTTCTTGCTTTTGGGCGCTTCCTCTGCTTCTGCTGCTGTTTCTGCTGCTGCTGCTGCTGCCTTTGCATTGGGTTTGCCTTTGGTCTTGGGAAGGGCCTTAGCCTTAGCTTTACCCTTTGCAGCTGCCTTGGCTTTGGGGGTTGTCTTCACAGGATTGCTCTTGGGGGCCTTCGGCGCTCGCTTTGTTGCTGCTTCGTTTTTTGCTTCCTGCTCAGGTTTCTCTTCCTTGCGCAATCGGGCCTTAGCTTGCGGGGCAGGCTTCGTAGCAGGGATTTTACGTTTTCTTGCTGCTGGCTTGTCATCGCCCTCCTCTTCATCATCTTCTTCTTGCTCCTCCTCTTCCCCTTCCAAATTCTCTTCCTCATCTTCCTCAGCCTCAATTTTCACTTTCTTTCGGCCCCGACCTCTTCCCTTCCCCTTTCCCTTGCACTTTTTTTGCAGGCAGGATTCACGGACTCAGCTGTAGCAGTCTGTTCTGCTGGGGATATGCAAGGCTCGGATTTGACTGAATCAGGAATATCTGGGCCAGCAGGGGCGGAAGCTTTGGTTTTGGCTGTCTTCGGGATAGCAGGGCCAGAAGCTTCGGTTTCAGTTGTCGTGGGGATAGCGGGTGCGGAAGCTTTGGTTTCGGCTGTCTTGGGGATTTCAGGGCTTGAAGCTTCGGCTTCGGACCTCTTTGGATTGGCATCTCCAGGGGCCTTAGCTACAGGGATCTCCGGGCTGACCTCAGAAGGGGCATGCTTCGTACCCACGAGATTCTGTTTGCTCGAGCATCTCCTCGTAGGCTGCACGGACTCCAGAGTCTCCATGATCAAAGTCTTGGAGTTATCCACCTGAGGTATTTTATGAATCGAACTAAGGGGGATGAAGACTGTCTAGGCATGTTTATAAAATGCATTCTTCAGGGGCCTCCTCAGTAGAAACCTCTTGCGGACTAGGAGGTTGTGGTTCAGGCTGTGCTCTGTGCGCTGCTGCCAAAGCATCCATATCCTCCATCATCATTGGACATGTCTCCAAAGCCGATGGATCTTGACCTTGGCGCAGCAGCAGTCAACTATATTAGCAGAGCATCAGGTCATGTGCGCAATGCCACGCGAAGTACCCTATATGGCTAGAATTTTTGGACAAGTTACCACCACTGGCGTGTGTACATGTTTCGCTATCAGCCTTCATCAGCAATAGCTTCTCCAATTTCTGGCGCTCCGACTCCAAAGCATGAAGCAGGAGCAACTGATCGAGCTCGGCATGGGCTCTGCGAAGTGCAGCCTGGACCTCAATCCTCTGGTCATGCGTGATGGGCTTTCCAGGGTGAGGGACTACAGATCGTTCCGAAAAGCCGTGTGAGTCTCCACTAGACGTTCCGCGGCAGGGCTCGTCAACCCAGCCTTTGTGCGTAGCAACCTTTGTGATTGTTTCAGGCGCAGGCTTGGGCGGCTCGGTCTTAGCAAGGATTGGACCCTTAGCTTCCTGATGGCTGGTCTTAGTGGGGATTGGATCCTTAGCTTCTTCTGGCTCGGTCTTAGTGGGGATTGGATCCATTGCTTCTTCTGGCTTGGTCTTAGTTGGGATGGCATCCTCTGGTTCCTTGCAGGCCAGGTTCTTGGGATTATTGGAGGCTGATGCATGCATGCCTTGCTTGCCGAAAACTGCCGGCTTGGGAGCTCCCTTGCTAGACCCTTTGCTGGAGGGCGGAACAACTGGCAACTCCATGTATTCCCCTCCAATCTTACCAGCCCGCTTTCGGATACTCAAGGGTGAGCGTGCTGCATCACGGGGCATGTGGTCTGCACCTGGCCTGGCAGATGTAGGCGCAACCCCATATGATGGAGAAGGTACCTCCGTCGAGCCTAGGCATTCCTCCTCCCGAAAAACTGCATGATTGTCAGAGATGCATGGGCAACGCTGGCACATGAAGCCTGCATTTAGCACACGCTTATGTACCATTGAACCATTGCACTCATGTTCCTGCAGATCACTACGATGCCGCTCGACTTTCCTGCAGTCCAAACAAATCCAACCACACTTCATGGTGATATGCTTGAGCTTCGCTTTCTTTGGGTCGCTGGTCTTCCCAGCAGAGTCGGGCGAAAACAAACCTTTGTTAAACAACACGATTTGGACTCAATTGAGTGTTTCCCAACCGAATTCAA